CCAAAGAGTCCTCTTCAGAGGAAGAAACCTTGGTAGAGGACGACGAGGTGGAGTCTTCCCACAGTGGGGTCAGTCCCCTCAAGAGGTGACTGTACAGTGTATGGAAATTGGAGAGGCCTCTAAGAAGGCAGACAAACTGCCCAGTTCACAGAACTGAGTAGATCGATCAGGGTTCTTCAGGTGAACCTCCATCATGCCAAGGCGTCCACCGCTACAGTATGTAGGAGGTTCGACAAAGAGGGTCTAGATTTGGCCCTCTTGCAAGAACCCTGGTTACATGGCGGGAGGGTAGCAGGCCTAAAACCTAACCAAGGTAAGATTTTGTACAACGAAAGGTCTAAAAGACCACGCGCATGCATCTTATATAACAATAGGGTAAATTGTGTACTAATACCGGTGCTGTGCACCGCTGATATTGTTACAGCTCTCCTAACCACGCCGACAGAGGAAGGAACAAAAAGATGGCTAGTCTGTTCTGCATATTTCCCAGGCGAGGAGCTATGTCCCCCGCATATAATGGGCGAAATAGTCTCATATGTGGCAAGGGCTAACCTCCAACTCATCATAGGATGCGATGCCAATGCCCATCACACCATGTGGGGAAGCACGGAAATCAACATAAGAGGTGAGTCTTTATTACAATTCATCTTATCCGAAGGTTTAGTAATTGCTAATATAGGTAACAACCAACTTTCGTCACGGCAACGAGAAAAGAAGTGTTAGATATGACTCTGTGCTCGAGTAAAGCAAGTGATAACATTTCAAAGTGGCATGTGTCAGACGAACCATCGTGCTCAGACCACAGACAGATTAGATTTGATCTAATTACCCCACCTCGAATTTCAACCAAATACAGAAACCCTAGAGAGACGAACTGGGAAAGGTATTCAACATCACTTGGAGAGTATCTCGAAGAGGGTATGGTGGAAATAACAGGTGAACAAAGCCTTGACCGAGCAGTAGACCAAGTAAGTAAGGCTATTATAACCGCTTACGAGGAAAACTGTCCGGAGAAAACAAGGCAGCAAAGAACAAAAACAGTCTGGTGGAATAAACACTTGGAACGCCTTAGAGGCGAAGTGCGAAGGCTATTTAATAAAGCCAAGTCAACCGAAGACTGCCCAGACAGCACACCAAATCCTTTGGATATCTACTGAACATCCCAATATCCACTGAATGTCCAGTCCATGGTGGATATCTATTTTATATCCATAAAATGTAATTTATAGACATGCAAATGTCCATAAATAATAGTAATTATATAGCAAATTATTAAAAAATTACGCCATTGTGGCTAATAGTACCGTTCAGATATTTAAAATTAATTTTTTTAAGGTGTATTCAATATCCCATGGAGATCCACATATATCAAAGTCTTAGCGCGGACGCAAACCATCGTGGATAACTACTAGATGTAATTTTTGATTTTGCTTCCTAAGTATAGATGGCGATACCACTTTCGTATCTACTCATGCTCAACCCGCCATAATTGAGTTGATCGAACATTTTTTCGCATTAAGACTCTATTAGAGATTGGAGTCGAGAATTTCCATTTATTCCTGAAGAGTCCTAATAAGGATGACTTTTTCCTTAGTGGGCAAACTCAAAGACAGATTGTTGGAAATATTTTTTATCTCTATTTTCTTTCGACGTTATCATTCATTTGGTTACTTATGAATGTCTACTAAAGATACCTATAAAATATTTTGCTGAATATCTGAATTCTATATCCTGGGATATAGACGGACATTTGGTTGGATTTGGATATTGGATATCCACAAAATATATTCTGTGGATATCTCTGGGATTTCTTGTATTGTCTGGAAGATACTAATTAGATATTTTGCTGAATATCCATAGGATATCTTCTATATTCTGGATATAGACGGACATTTGGATATCCATATTAGATCCACGGAATATTTCTGATATCCTGTGGATATATTGGATATCCACAAAAGATATTCTGTGGATATCTTTGGGATTTGGTGTGTTGTCTGGGTGGGCCCTATACAAGGCTAAACTCACGCAGTACAACAAGGAGATAAGAAACGCTAAAAGGCAATCGTGGAGGAAGTTCTGTGAGGAGTTATCTGAAACACCCACATGCTCTAGAATCCACAAAGTCTTAGCTAAAGAGGGTGCTGCAAACCAAGTAGGATTTCTCAGGAAAGATGACGAAACCTATACGAAAACCTTCGAGGAAACATTAACAATGCTCACAGAAGTACACTTTCCGGCCGCAGAAATTTTGCTAGACCCGATAGTAGCATACAGCCCTCAAAGAAGGTCCCGTAGGCCAACTCCTTTGGAATGGAGGCTAGCTACAGAAATATCGAGGCCGAACAAAATTAGATGGGCTACAAACAAATTTCAATCATACAAATCCCCAGGAGTAGATGGAATATATCCCATTCTACTACAAAAGGGACAGGAAATTCTAATTCCACATATGTGTCGCATATTTAAAGCATGTATAGCCTGGCGACACATACCAAAGGCGTGGCAAAAGGTGAAAGTCATATACCTCCCTAAAGTAGGAAGGTTTAATGACATGACGCCAAAGTCGTACCGCCCAATCAGTCTATCGTCATTCATGCTGAAAACGCTAGAAAGACTAATAGATAGATATATACGAGACGAAATACTGAGAGAAAATCCTCTCAGCGACCGTCAATATGCATATCAGCCAGGAAAGTCAACCGATTTGGCCCTGAATGATCTTAACAGGCTATTGTCAAAATCCCTGGAGGATAAAGAAATGGCAGTAGCAACTTTAGTAGATATTGAGGGAGCTTTTAGTAATGCTCAAACAAGATCTATAATTAACGCATTAGCAATAAAATGGGTACCAGTAGTCCTATGTCAGTGGATAAAAGCCAGCCTAGAAGAAAGGGTAATAACATCATATCTAGGCGAAGCTACATTGACAGCTAAAGCAGGCAGGGGCTGCCCCCAGGGAGGAGTACTATCACCCCTTCTCTGGTCAGTCCTAGTGGATGAACTTATAAAAAGGCTAATATCTGCAGATTTTTACTGCCTAGGGTATGCCGATGACCTGGCGATTGTCGTAAGAGGCAAGTTCGCAGGTACAATATCGGAGCGCACACAAACCGCTCTAAACATTGTCGACGAGTGGTGCAGAGAGGAGGAACTAACAGTAAACCCTCACAAAACCACAATAGTCAACTTTACAAAACGAAAAGTACCAACAGGACTAAAGTCACCAGTACTGAAAGGAGTGAAGATTCCATTCGCTCAAGAGGCCAAATACTTGGGAGTCATCTTTGACCACAGGTTAACATGGAATCAACACTTGCAAAAAGTCACCCAAAAGAGCACAACGTCCTTCAACTTATGTCGAAGGCTGTGTGGAAAAAATTGGGGATTACAACCAAAAATGTCCCTGTGGTTATATACCAGAGTCATAAGGCCGATGATAACCTACGGTTCGGTGGTTTGGTGGCCAAAGACTCGGCAAGCTGGAGCCATTCGACAGCTCAATAGTATTCAAAGGCAAGCATGTCTGAGTACCACGGGAGCTATGAGAACGACTCCAACAGCAGCTATAGAAGTCATGCTAAACCTAACACCACTACATATATTCATTCAAGGCGAAGCCAGGTCTGTCACATACAGACTGCACAAAGGTTCATCGCCCATAAGCAGTTTGCATGGACGCGACTACAGCGAGCTATATAAAGAGTTGGAGAACGACCAAATAATGGGAATGCCTTCAGACGAAATGCTTCCAAAGTATAGCTTTCAAAAGCAATATAAAGTAAGTATACCAGACAGGGAAGCGTGGACGGGAGGACCTCCTATTCATGCAGATCTCACCTGGTATACAGACGGCTCCAAAACCCATGAAGGTTCAGTAGGTATATATAGTACCAAGCCAAAGACAGGAATCTCACTGAGCTTAGGTAAATATGCGACAGTATTCCAGGCAGAAATAGCAGCAATACATCACTGCGCAAAAGAAGTATTAAGACAGAAGGTAAATGGAAAAGCCATTGTCATATACTCAGACAGTCAAGCGACGTTAAAAGCACTCAGTTCCATGCAGGTACACTCAAAGCTTGTGTGGGACTGTTTGGAAGCCCTAACAGAGCTGGGTAGTCAAAACAGACTAACCTTAGCCTGGGTACCAGGCCACAGGGGACACAAAGGCAATGAAGAGGCTGATTTACTAGCCCGAGAAGGAGCTTCAAATGCTCTTATTGGCCCAGAACCCTTCTGTGGTGTAACAAAAACAACTATTAGAACATGCACAAAGCAGTGGATGTTTAAAAAATCTCAGGAGTGGTGGGAAAACTCACCAGGACAGAGACAGGCCAAAAAGTTCTTAAAGGGACCATCGTCTAAACTCACCGAGCATCTACTAAGCCTTAATAGGAAAAATACTAGAATACTAGTAGGTCTATTAACAGGGCATTGTAGGCTTAACAAACATATGTTCAATATCGGTCTGACAGAAGAGGCCTTGTGCCGATTCTGTCAAGAAGAAGAGGAAACGGCAGAACACGTATTGTGCTTCTGCGAAGGTCTAGTAAGACTGAGATTCCTTACACTTGGAGAAGAAAAACCAAGGGCAACTAGCTATACCGGAGAACTACTTCCCAGTCTATGGAGTCTACTACAAAAGACCGCATTAGACAGGGTACTCTAAACAATGATTAAAGGATATCCACAATAGATCTGAAAAGGTCGAGGTGGGGGAGGCCACATGGCCCATAGTCCTAATTAAATCTAAGGTGCTCTGCTGACTTTGTTCGAAGCTAGTAAATCACCCATATTTTTAAAAATACAAATTTTATATAGGAGTGGAGAGTGGTGACCTTTGCGATACACCTTGATTTGAAATGAAACTTAAAGATGTGTAGTTCTGTTTCGAAGCACATAAGACCATTTAAATGTTACAAATGATTTAGTTATTTGATCCCTCGTACAAAAATAAAACATGTAAATACATTATCTGGCGTTAGTATCTGTATATAAAACAAATACTAAGTGGAATATAAAAATGTTTATTATAAACATATTATATGCAAACTCATTTACAAAAGACGTTGGTGTTGTTAAAATTACATACATTTTTATTTTCATGAACATAAAATGTGCCTAGTTTTGAGCTTAGTAGTTGAAACATATTGAATCTCAAAATTTTTATTTTGTATTAAAACACTAAAAAAATCGCTTTTAAATGAGTAAAAACTGGGTTGACTTACGAGAAAAAAAATAGAATATATAGGTATTTCTTTTGCTTTTCTTCCACCCTTCTTGAATTACTCTTTATACAATAATATGTTATTAGGTTCTTAAAAATATTAAATCACAGAATTTGTTCAATGGATTCTAGGTTTCTTCTCTGGTGGAGGTTTAATCTTTTCTTGCTTAATCTCAACTTTAACATCTTTGGATTCACTCGGCCCATTTTCAGCTTCTGCTTTGATAGGAAGAGCTGGTGCAACTTTGGGTTGAGGCGGAGTAGGTAGAGGAAATTTTCTTATGAGTTCACCTAACAACATGTCAACTCTTTGCCTTTGAAACAAAGAGCTCTGTTCTTCCCTAGGTTTTTCTTCCTTCTTTTTTTCTATGTTTGCTCGTTGAGACTTGAAATCCCATGAATACCCTTTCGTAGCATGGTATTTTGCAAAACTAGATGATTCTTCAAATGATGATTGGAGATGATGAACTGCAGAAAGCTAAAAGGATAAAAAATTATCAATAAAATAGATTTTTGTTTGGCACAGTGATCAGTGGCGGTTCCTCAATAAGTACATATCGTCGATTGAGAAGAAAACTATCCATTTAAACTATACTATGTCCATTTTTTGACACAATGTACTTAATTCCTATTTAATTCTAGCATGTGCAATACTATCGGGTCGGTGGTGTAGCAGTCTCACGCGCTTATATTCATTTATAGGCAAGTTTATGGTCAGAGACAGACGGACTTCGAATCCCTAGTAGGCCATGTGGATTTTTAATTAAATTGCATGCTTCGGTATAGCATTTGATGTGTGCCGTATTAATAGAAATTAAATTTCTGTTGATATGATATGCAGATTATAAAATTGCCATGCATTACGGTCTCGATGATGGTGGGTGAGGTTTTCCGGGTTTTCCTCACCTGTAAGTCAAATGGCACCATCAATCATCTTTAAGTGGCCCCGAAGCGCCACGGCAAATAATAATAATATCCGTTCCTTTCCCCGCACAAGCTCAGCTTTTGGGGTTAAAATTCACTCGTAAGGGGGTGAATTGGGGAGAGTGTTATCTATCCAATGTCCTTGGAAAGCCGTATGGGGAACAAAAATTGCTATGAATTGTTTTCGTTATAGGGCAATAACATTTTCAAATGCGTAATACTCAAAAGTAATAGAAAATGACTTAGGATAGTATTCTTCTCAACCGACGATATGTCCACTACCAAATTACAAGTGTGCATTCCCAAAGTATTAAACCACGGGCCGCAGCTGACTGTGATGTACCTATTGAAACTTGAAAATGTATATATTTATTATTCTATTTAATGATATTATTTATTTATAAAGTGATAGAAATACCCCAAGTCCTCTGACAAAAGAGTATGTATTTTTAATTACAGTTTGCATGTGTTTCTTATTTCAGTTGGCTTTGTTGTTGCTTAGAAGCATAAACTCTATTAAGGTGCGTTTACACGCATACAAGAAGTCACTTTGAAAAAATTAAGATTACGGTTTTACATTTTGTCTACAAATACTAGAACAATTTACTTTTGTACTTTATAAATAAATTTCCCAGCTGAACATTGGTTTTTAGAGTAATTAAAGATAATCCAAAACAGGTGCAAATTCGTGAAACTGATTCCTTTTAAAAAATATATATATATACAGTATGGTTCAAATGAAAGGAATAAATTCATTATAATGGAAGTAGCTGGCTTTTCGAAAAAATGCTCGGACAGGTCAATTTTGTTTACTCAAAGCGCAATTTTTTAAATAGAATTCAATTTTCCCCCACTTCCCATTTTTGGGCAGTGACGTCATTGACAATTTTTTTAATAGTAACCCCAATTTTTTTTTATTGATTTTGATAGATCTTGCAATTTCCTACTCGGAAACATAATATTTGAAATATCTTACATAACAATTTTGTTTTGAATATAAAACATTTATAATGAATTTATTCCTTTCATTTGAACCATACTGTATATATTATAACAAGAGGCACAGAAAATATTTATTGGATAACTCATATAAATTTTTTTAATCAATATCATTTTCTTCACAACTGGACTTTGATTCAGACCCATTACTACTTGCCGTTGTACCTAAATTAATAATAATTGGTTCTAGATAGGGTTGCCACCTTTAGAAAAGTGAATAAAGGACATTTCAAAAAACCTTAGGTACTACCGGTTTTATGAATGCGTGTAGGCCGGCCGCGGAGGGTATCACGGTAAACCGCTAAAAATGAACCCAGTTTTTTTCACTTTTTAATAACAATAATATCTTAATTAGTAACATACAAATGACTAAAAAAAATATTCTGTTTGATTTTGCAGCTTCCAAAGTAGCCTTGTTGTTTTTTATGAAGTCGTAAAATTCTTGACAATTATCTTAAAAATTAAAATATATTAATAGCTCCGAGCGAATTACTTCTGTAGAACACCGATTTCTTTCGTCGCTCCATTTTGTAGTCATCACAGACATAATTCGCTCAGAAAATGCTGAACTAACAGGTACACTTAATAAAAATGAAATTAACGAAAACACATTTGGAGTAATTTCAAAGCATTTTAAAACGACTTCCCATTTTTTAATGTTGTTCAAAAATGAGCATTTTTTCACAGATACTTCAGTTACTCTATTTATAATACATATAAATCACCCAGTATAAATAATATATAATAAGCATAAGAACAACAATATATTTTATTATTCATTCAGTACTTTATATGACCGAATTTAAAAATATTTAAAGATGGCTTTGGCCGAATAGCAACAGGAAACACAATTTAACGGTCTTACGAATTCTAGAAAAAACATTTGTACAACTTTGCACATCTGAATTTTGAGCGACAATACATCTAAAATACGTATCTCGCTTATGGAAAATTGTCAGTAATTTGATAACTAATGCACATTGTCACACTCATAGATCTGTTTCACTTGCGCTAACATAAATATAGTAAAAAATAGACTATAAAACAAATCCACACCTACAAACGACAATATTCTATCCTCTGCAAAGTAAATCACGTCAACATCAGGCAATGTCTCTCAACCAATCACAACCAAACATGTCCACAATAGCAACTACACATACACTTGACTCGGCGAGAAAACTAACAGTGAGAATGATTTTGACTACCGACAATCAACATTGCCACTATGGACAATTATGTATTGAATTCCATCTCCTGTTTTTTACTTGCAGTAGCCATCGTTCCATCTTGCCAACTTTTTCTGTCTCCTTGTTAAAATTTGTCAAAAACGACATTTTTTTACCTGAATCGATGTTCGTTCGAATAAAAACTGTCTGTTGTTACTTTTTTAAAGCAAAAGTCAACTTTTCGAATCCATGTATTAATTGATCGTGCAGAACATTTCACATCGGGCATTTCCTCCGAAAATCGTTTATGTAACGATTTCTTTGTTACATGCTGCAGACCTTTATATATCTTATATATAACTTGCCTCACCTTACTTAATATTAAAGAATTGACTTTTGTTTTACTTTGGCTTACTTTTTTAGACATTATTTTCACACTCTGTATCAGAATTTGTTGGTTTACCAAGTCTATAGATAGTTTTCTGCGAAATATTTAATGCCTCTGCAGCCATTTGATTGTACCTTTTTCCAAGAGTCTCGCAAATAGATTTGTGTTTCTTCAAATAGGAAACTACGTTTAGGATTAAAGTTTTTGATTAATCACTAAATCGTTTCACCATTTTGTTGAATACTTATAAAAACGTTTGAAATATCAAAATATACAAATTTTTAACAAATTGACAAATTCAAAATTATTTTGATAACTGCCACCTGACATAAAAACGTGATGTAATTAATCTAGGACGTGCCAAAATTTAGTAACTTTTTGTTTCATCCATTTTACATTTAAACAATACGCTGTTGCTAGTTACACGCTAAAGTCAGCTGTACTCAACCTTTTTTTTTCGGGCCACATAAATCTGTTTGTTATGCTACGCGGGCCACAATGTTCTAAAAAAAAGGTTCTTCATGTTGTTTTAGTTGTGTTATTGCTTTGAAGGGTCGCAAGGGCAGGACTATAGGTCAACCATTTCAATTACTAATAATTGTTTGGGGTCACACAAAAAAGCTTGGAGGGCCGTACAGAACAGCTTGGAGGGCCGCATGCGGCCCGCAGGTTGAGTGGCTGCGCTAAAGTGTACAGTGTGTACACAAATCAAAAAATTATATACACGCGAAACGTCATATTGCTGTGGTGGGAGGTGTTTGTGTGAATGCGTCTTGTTTGTTTTCATTTACGCCGTGACTAGCACAGTAGTATTTTATAAAACTTAGAAGCAAATTTCACATGCATGAACAAATAATAAATAATGCCATGACAACAAGAAAACGAAGCAACGACTTCTCGTAGGGTGGCGGCTTCGCCGCCACAAAAAAATTCAATTCATACCTAGCTACGACCGTAAACACCAATGGCCTGCACACAGCTCACCTACTGTGTCAAGACGTTTTGCGTGTATATAAATTTTTGAATTGCGTACAAGTTAGCGTGTACCTAGATACTGTGTAAACAATAAAGAAATCGGGTATTTCCGAGACTTTATAATATTTATTTTTATTATGTAACTATCAGTATACATGTTCATTATCAAAATCAAATGTTCAGACATATTTATATTTCAAATTATTACAAGGTGCTTAGAGTTTTAAACAGTTTCAATTAAATGAAAACAACTTACCAATCTGGAATTTAGGACACTTGCTAAATCTGGTGCTTGATGGACTACACCAGCAACAATATAATAGTCTGCTAAAGGAGTTAGCTGTTGTGGACTATGCCTATGCTGTTTACGAATCACATACAATATAGGTTCTTGGACGTGTAAAAGAACATACTCCAAACCAGTCATATTTCTAAAAAAAAAAAAATCAATATTATGTTACAATAGGTTTATTTTTAGTCCTATCAACAACTAAAAATACACTGGAATACCAGCCATTTTATATATTAGTCTTCCAAATGGAAATAACCTTTAACATAGTTTTCAAAAATTATTGGCATAGTAGAATCGGGCGAAGAGCTAAAATCACTTAGTCTAGATTTGTTGGCATTTTATAGATAAAAGTGTTTGAGTAGTGGGCATTTCTAGTTTTAAATGGCATAGGTTATTCAAAAATCGTTCTGTATATAAGTGAGATAATCTCAAAAGAAAAGTTTAATGTGTTTCAAAAGTAAAAATTCTCCTTTAAAATCATTTAAAAAATCAAGTTCTTCTCTGTATACTTTTTTGGAATTTCAAAATTGTATGATTTTTAAGAATCATCCCATGTTGCCTTTAAGTTAGGGTTTGGAAGTTGTTTGAACGTCAAACAATTCCTGTAAAAAAGTATATACTATACTAATTTAACTTGAATTATCAGAAATCTATTTCTATTCCACACAGTACCTATTGAAACGTTTTATTTACAAAAAAACATGAAAAAAAAAAGGAATAAATTTAAAGGCTGGGAAAGTACATGTACTTGTAATTTTAACAATAATCATTGAAATATACTTACTGCAACTGTTCTGGATTAAGCCGTTGCATTTTAACAATTTCATTGTTACAAGTTCTATCATAAAATGGATTTGATGCTTGTGAAAAATACTCCATCACATTTGTAGTATTTAAAATTGGAATCCACACCGAATCCTGCCATGAAAGACTTAAAGGATTATCCGGAATTACCCTACTGGACATCATTTTTGTGAATTGGTATGTAAATTTATAAATAGTATTTTCAAATAATTGAAACCTAAATTTTTAGGATTATTTTTAGGTTAGGTCTTGACAACTTCACAAATCAGAATTCATAAAATAATATTGCAGCTCAAAATGGTCAGATTGCGAATTTGCAGTATCTAAAACGAAAATGATTATATTTTAAATAATAAATAATTGTAAGTATTTTACTATATCTTTAAAGCATGTATATTTACGTACGAAAATGTTAAATACTTAAAATATACCTACCAATAAATTAAAAATACCAACCTGTCTATCTCTTATGTATTTTTTTTTAAATTCACGACATAATTAGATTCATAAAAATACTTTATTCTAATAGTCAAGAATCATTTAAATTTTATCATAAATAAGTAAAAGTTTATTTTGTCTTTCTATAGTTTCTATAGAATAGAATGTGCAGTAGTGTAATTATGGTTGCCTAACGCTTAGGCTTGATCAGTTACGGTGCCGATTAACTGTGTTTATCATAGATAAATTACTTTATTAATTTATCTATGGTGTTTATTGGGGATAAACTACAGAATTTCTATGTGGGGTGATGACCGCTGCCCCTACAGTAAAATTTTGAAGATTTTCTATAATGCACCAGTTAGCTCTTGTAATGCACTCATATGCACAACTAATAAAACTTTTTGCATTCCCTTTAGTAGTTATAGCTGTTTAGTAGTTAGCACCCGAGCGCCAGTTCAGTGATGATGTAATTATGGTTCCACTGACAAAAAAGTTTAGTAGAGAAAGGGGCGGCGACACCCTCCAAAATCCTACAAAAATAAAAAAATATATTGCCTCTACCTCGATTTTGTTAGTTATGGTATTCCAACACGTCATAAAATTTCATGAAAAAATGTCAAAAGGTTTAAGAGTAACACGTTAAAAAAATTCATTTAAATTTTTATATTATACACCCTGTAACTATTTTTGGGTGCACTTTTGTATATAGATAAGAACGGTTTAATCGACCTATTTTTGACCCAAGAAAACGTGGTATAATTTATTACCAATCTTTTTGAAACACCCTGTATATAAATTAAAACAGTGTCATATATAAATTGACCAGTAAATTACAAAAACCCTATACAGTAATTTATTTAAAAAATCAAACTTCATGGCATTTCCGGTAAAACTGGAAGTTTGCCATTTTATTTAAATATAAATATTAATAAATAAAAGGGATATATTAACGTGGCCCTGGTAATATATTGTCGTATATAAATTGTGGGATAATATACAGGGTGTTAAAAAAAAAGTGTCACAAAATGAAATGGTGAATAGTATGACCCAAAATAAGCAGAAAAGTCTTAATAAATATATGACCGCAAATTAACGGTTTCGGAGATACGGACCATTTTGTGTTTATAACAATTTTTTATTATTATAAAAAACAATGATATTTATAAACAATCAATAACAACATAGAGTTAAATGAGATGTTCAAAGTGCCCTCCCTCCATTTCAATGCATTGCCATTTGCACGACCGTACATAAAATGCATGTCAGCTAATTCAATATTAGTGTAAACAGGCATAACGAAAATTTATAAAATTATTCACCCACAACAAAATAATAACTGCAAATAGTATCTATGAAAAAACATCGGTAGACTCCGATAAGAAAAGCAATTTTTTGAGAATGAAAAAAGATAATCAAAAAATGATACAAAACACTCCATTCTCTGAAACCATTCATTTGCGGACATATGTTTATTAAGACTTTTCTGCATATTTTGGCCCATACTACCGTTTTATTTTGTGACACTTTTTTTTTAACACCCTGTATATTAACGTGGTCATAGTTTCATATTGTCTCCTGCTATCTAATTTTTGAAACGCACTTTTTACGTCATTTTCCTATGAATGGAAGACAGCAAACAAGATTTTCATAATTTATTTACCTTAATTTTCCGTATTTTTTTGTATTTGTTACATATATATTTTTTAAAAATGAAAATTCAATGCAAAATTAAAAATTAATAAAACTATAATTTTAACAATATTTTTTGCAAAAGTTTTTACGAAGAAAATGTAAACGGCAAATTACAATAAAAATGTAAATATGTATAAATTGCGACGCATTTGAAGGGGTTTTAGGTACTTCTAGGGAAGATCGAAATAAAGAAGAAAACCGACAACTTTTGCCAGAAAAAAATTCGGGACACATTGTACAGCTAGAGACATCGCTTCATTTTGGAATAACGGTGTTACTCGAACACATATATTTTTTTGAAATTCAGAGATGTAACCTGAAATATTATGAGTGTATTAAAATGTGCATCCTCGTACGAAGTGGCCAAAATTTATGTAGGACTAAAAATGAGTAAATTACTTATATATACATATATGAAATATTTTGGGAGGAGTTAACTTCAAGACAAAGAAACAGCTGTAACGGTACTAAGGGGAGGGGGTGCAAATAGTTTTATTTTCAATATTTTTTAGCGAAAACATCATTGGTTGGGCTAACATCACGGTAAAAAAATTAAAAAATTGCTGTAACTAAGTATTAAAGGGAAGGGATGCAAAAACGTTTATTGGTCTTGCATAAATGCATTTGTTTGGTAAAACTTCATTTGGGCTACCTTTGCGGTAAAGAAATGTCGGTAACTACTGAAACAGTTTTATTGATGTGCATATGAGTGCATACCAATGTAATAATTTTTTGCGAAAACTTCATTGGGGGCTAACTTCACGGTAAAGAAACAGCTATAACTACTATATGGAGGGGATGCAAAAAGTTTTATTGGTGGTGCATATGAGTGCATACCGGTGCAATAGTTTTTTTGCGAAAACTTAATAATTGGGTGGGCTAACTTCACGGTAAAGAAATTGCTGTAACTACTGAAGGAAGGGAGTGCAAAAAGTTGTATTAGTGGTGCATAAATGACTGCAAACCGGTGCAATGTTTTTTTTTGCAAAAACTTCATTGGGGGCTAATTTCACGGCAAAGAAACAGCTATAACTACTAAAGTGAGGTGGTTCACAAAGTTTTATGGGTGGTGCATCAGAAGTGATTACCGATGCAATGTTTTTTTTTGCGAACACTTCATTGGGGTGGCTAACGTTAGGTGAAAGTTTGTAGGTATGGAAGTATCGATTTTTTTAAAGGTAGGAACTTGAATTGGAATTGTAGCTACCCATAATAAATAAATAAAAGACCTGCTTCAGGGTTTTGAATTTTAACATTTTAAGGGGGGAGAAAAGTGGTGAAATAAAAATAAATAAAATAAAAATGAATAAAATGAGAACAAATAAAATAAAAATTAATAAAGTAAAAATAAATAAAATAAAAAGAAATGAAAGTACACATAAATAAATAAATAAAAATAATTTAAAAAAATAAAAACATAAATAATAAATACAAATAAATAAAAATAAGTGAAAACAAATAAAATAATTAAAGATAAATACAAATGAATAGTACAATTAATTAAAAACAAATAAGTGAAACTTCTTACGAAAAACGATATTTTTCAATGTTAAAAATAAAAAGAATAAATTAAAATAAAGACAAATGAATAGTACAAATAATTAAAAACAAATAAGTGAAACTTATGGAATGAAAAATATGAGTAGTGAATCGATAACCATATTTCTCGATGTCCCGACAGCCTAAGGGAGGACTGCTTTTCTCAAGGTTGGTTTTATGCGTTTTATGTTAGAGAGTCAGTTCGGCAACAAATGAGAGCCGTACCAGAAATGTGGTATAAAAAGAGATTCTCTATTAGATTAATATACTTAACTCCAATTTATAATACTATAACATATATATCATGAACCCTAAAAACATATTATCCCTCCTTTTTTGGGAAGTCGTGCATTTTTAGATTCAACGAAGAAGTGTTGAAAGGGTTTGCTAGATACATTTCATGTGAAATAGCAGAGAGCTATAGATTTAAACCTTTAAACTTAAATTATAAAATATTAACAAAATGTGTGCACTAAACCATCGATATTCCCAATAAAATGTGTATTATGTTATTTTCTATTTGATTGAGTTCACAATGATTCGGCATTATTCCGCATTGCAAACTCGTACCAATTCATCAATACAATATATTTTTTGTGATGGAAAGTGTTGTTTTGCTAGTAATAGTAATTCAGGTTTGATGAAGCCGAATTCTCAAACCCGCAATATCTTTTTATCGAAGCCAGTCCCCTTAATTTTATTTTTATGCCAAGCATTTGTTCAAGACATCCAGTCTTTGGCTATATCATGCATTGTTCCCGACTATTATTGACAAATAATTAATTTGTAGTTTCAAAAGACTATATATTTTTTGTATGTGTAGTTGTAAGTTATGTCTTACCGACTATCTTTGACTCCAGAATATCTGGTATAATACCCCCAGAATTTATGGACCTACCTTTTTGTGACACCCTATAGGAGTTTTTATAAACATAATTTAATCGTATTATTTTTGTGGCAGATGTCTTTAGAAGTAGTTCCTATTCACCGACATCCAGAATACCTCCATGACTGTTGTAAAATAATAAATCAAGAATGGAAACGATCAGAATCAGCCCGTATGCACAGTTTACAACAGTCCAATGACAATCTACCTACCTCACTTATTTTACTCAAAGACAAAGTCGTGATTGGTCATGTTAAATTGTCTGTAATCCCAAGTATTAAAACAGCTTGTTTTATAGAGTCACTAGTAATAGATAAAAGTCTTAGAGGAAACGGATTTGGATCGATGCTTATGAGAGGAGCAGAAAAATCTTGCAGAGCTTTGGGCCTGAAAACAATATATTTATCAACCAAAGGTCAAGAACAATTTTACCGTAGACTTGGTTATACAGAATGTAGCCCAGTATCAATCTATGGAAATTTTATGAGTTCAATTAGTAGCAATCTCTTTAAAAGGAATGACGAAAAATCGAAAGAAATGCATCAAGTAGAGACCAACACCAGATCTGCTCCTCCTCCTCCTCCACCACCACCCACCTCACCACATAATACTGAAGCCAAGACAAACAGAAAAACTTATATGAAAAAAGATTTGTAATATTTGTGCATAATGTTAAAAAACAGTCATGCTAAATTTTTTGTGACCAAATTAAAGCTTATTTTTCGAATGCATTGTTTTTCTTCCTTATATTTTCTATAAGAAATAATTGAATAGGTTCATTAAACAATATTAGGTTCTTTTGTTCGTCCCACTGGTGTAGGAATGAACTACACCAACGGACACTAAACCTTTCGTTTGGCCCGGTGTAAAATCCACTACACCTTCCTGTTGACGATGTGGTGTCCACTGGTGGATATATTCTCCACTAGCTATTTAGCAGGAGTCAATTACAGCATGTGTATAAGGAATAAGAAGGAAGTAAACTAGGCAAATAAGGGTCTTATACGAAGTTTAAATTCCTAACCGAAGATTAAAATGGTATTGTTGATGTAAAAATGTCATTTTAATCTTCGTTTAGTAATTTACACTTGTGGACACTGCACCATCTTGTTCGCGGAGGCTGTCGCCGACAAGTCCACGACTGATGAACATGCGCATTTTGATTTCAGGCGTTCGTGGAGCCGAAAATCAGGGATTTTGGCAAAATATCCAGCGTTCACGGTGCACTTGTCAGTAGTACACGACAAGTTAAAACGTTCAGCAAACAGCGTGGACAATTTGTCAGGAAAAGCTTAGTAAGTAAAAGTGATGTAAAAATTGCGGTAAAGAGAAAAAAGAATCGGAACAAAGAAGAATGGTTGATTGAGTATTTAATTACGCCAATAAATTATAAAAATTGAATATTCGAATTAATAAAAAATTAAACAATAATTAAAAACTACAATTTTTACAATGGAATCTTTCGGATATCTATTTTAAAAACTATCTTCACAATCTACAGTCTTTTGTCTCACTTTTTATTTGCAGTTAAAGTGTATGATGGTCATTTATTTGCTACACACAGGTCGTTCGCGGTGATCTCTTGTCATGGATATGTTACAAATCGCAGTTGTGCACAAACGTTTCTGATTATTAATCAGTAACAAGTCGTGTACTTGTCGGCGACAGGCTCCGCGAACAAAGCTAATAACCGACATGCCAGACAACATTATTTTCGCAAAGATCTCATTATGTAATATGTCCACACAAAAAATTTAAATAGATTATATTGTTGTTTTTAAAGGAGGAAATTTCGTTTTTTGGAAATGTTTTTTATGTATATTACACAGGGAGTATATTTGTTTACAAAAAGTAATTAGTTAAATTTTGTTTCAAACAAAATACGTTGAAGAAACTTCAACACATGTGTGAATTAAAACATTTGGCTTAGAATGCTCCTGGCATTTATAGAAATTACTCAAAGTCGTTGAGTTACTTTTAGTCATATTGAGCATAAACCACAAATTGTTAATTAGCGCTATCATGTGAATCCCAGTATATATGTGTGAATACTAGGTAACTAGACTAGGTAGTTGTCTCTGATACTACTTCGCAGATTGTTGGTTGTTTCTACCAGCGCGAAAAGCCACCTAGCGAGAGATTGGCGTCATCCGCAGAATTAAATTCTCACCGTACCGAGCGCATATTTACACATCCTCCTATATGACGGCACCGGAGTGCTGAAATCTGTTCGCCTTTGTAACCTACAAGTACGCTACAAAAGCTCATTGATTTAGGCACCAATGCACGAGGCCTCTCTTATTGCTGGAATCAGTAAGCAAGCTTATCTGCATTCTATGAAACAATGGCTGTACTTAAACTGCAGTTAAACGGTCGTGTAGTGAAAATGTCGTTCCATCCATACAATTTGTATAAATGGAACGATATTTTCAGAAGTGGTGTAGCTCAGTGCTACACTTTCGATGCAAAGGAAAAGACCTATTATGACGAAAAGCAAAGACGTTTGTTACAAGTAGCTTTCCCTTGTCAAACTGGTTTTAACTAAATATCAAATATCAATATTTTTCGGAATTTCTTTAACCCCCTCCCCCAAAAGAACAAACTGACGAAGATATGAAAATCTACAATTTCAATTCTGTATGTCAAATAGTCTGAAAGTGAAACACCTGTGACAGACAGGCAGACATGGAGATGATTCCATAATGGGAGACTGATTGCCAAATTGGGGAAGGAACACAAAAAAAGGACATTTCTAGATATACAAAATTAAAAAGAAACAATACATATTTATTAAACATTTGCTACAAATCAACAATAACAATTTATCCAATAAATAAATAGGTACTAAAATATATAGATAGGTAAATCAATAAAATTAAAGAAATTGATAACGTACTTTGAATTAGTAAATTTTAGTATACGTTTACATTAGATAAAGCTTAATAATTTTATCTTATCTAAAATTGTAGCTTTCGAAATCAGTTGCCTAAACCTTGACATAAATGTTTTTATATAAATACCTAAGTATTACATTTTAGTCACAGAATCTATATGTATAAAATATTTAATTACTATAAATTAAAAACTGTTTTTTTTTCTACCAGTTTTAAATTTTTGGCTCAAGTTTTTTTTTATATATTGTAAATATGAAATAAAATATACTTAATGTTTATTCAGGATGTTTGTTACAAATGCCAACTATTTGACCATAATGTTCTGGTTTGGTTAATGATTCAACTAAAAATCGGCCTAAATCAAATTTGGATATGACACGACCCCCAGGAGATGCACCATTTTTCACTTGATAGTCTACAGGTGGTTGATCTAAAAAAAGAACAGTATGAATGATATATAGCAGAGGTTGGCAAGGCGGCGCCTTCGGTGATACCTTATGCGCTCTCAGTGTATTACAATTGTATGATATTAGGAAATCAGTTCTATGGTACACTCATAGGTATTGCTAATGGACAAAAGAAATATTAGAATTTTAACCATATGTATTACCTTCACAAGCACAGGGTCATCGAACAGTAATTGAGGTTATTCACATATTGAAGTTTTTTTTTTTGTACATACTCCTATATATATTGTGCCCTCATTGACAAAAAGGTTGCCAACCCCTCATATACTATCACTTGAGAGCAGAAATATACTAAGTTACAAAATGCAAGTTTTAGAGATTTTTTTTGTTTTCAAAAAATTGCACAATTGATTTTTAGTCAATAAAATTTAAATAGCCTTTTAATAGACCTATTTATCGACATGCCCTGTGTTTTACAAAAAATAGCGGACAGAATATTTACGTCAATTTATGCTGTTATATGTCCACTAGTGCTCTATACTAACTCCGAATATTCCAAATCAAAACTAGTCTATGTTCATTATTATTATTATACACTAACTCCAAAACAACAGATCCAAACAAGTCTATGTTCAACGGATTAGTTGTAAAGGTGCGATTTTAGTTAGTATTCCAGTATGAACTTAAACTACTTCTGCACTAAATTCGATGATCTTTATTGTATATGTTGGTGTTAAAAATGCAAAATACAAAAATATGGACAGTATAATTCTGCTCTCAAGGGACGATACAGACTACTTATGGAATTAATAATATTATTTATATGGTTTTTATGGAACCATAGTTAAATGTTCACTAGAAAATAGGTCATTATTCTAGTTTATACAGGAAGACAGGAATTGTATACTTCCAATGCTGCATAATTTTGGTTTGTAAATTATTGTAAAATCTACTATTTTTATATTTTTAAAAATGAACCTTCAGGTTGCTTAATCAAATTAATTGGTTGGAACTAAAATTAAATTTGATTTATGTATCGAATTATATTAGATTTATGTATCGAATTATATTACCTATAGCAGCTTTTGATAACATTAAAAAATCCTGGAGCAATGCATATACAATTTATTCAACAATAATCAGTGAAATATAGAAATATGTACTTTATTTTATTTAATTTTATAAAATGATTTCCAAAAATTTACTTTTTATGGTAAATAACTAATGAGCTTCTTGAGTCAAAAATAAGTAAATCTATTCTACTCTTTCTATTTAAATAACAAATAATAAGTCTGGACAATTAAAACAGAAAATACCATACCTGCAATATGTGGTGGAAAGCAGGCAATATACTTTAAGTCAGTTGCTTTAAGTACATCCAGCATTCTTTGATGATCTGCATTAAGATTGTGGAATCTTGGTGGAATTTTATCTGGCTCATAGAACAAAAATGCAGATAAGCAAACTGAAATGATTTCAACATTTACTTCTTTCATAGCTTTAACTATATTTTTCAGACCTTCACTCAGGTCTGTGGTGGGACTTAGGTCATTCCGTGTACCTATAGCAACAACTACACCTGTGACATTTTTTACAGCATTTAAAACACTGTTGTAATCAAGAATATCTCCCTTTACAACTTCAACACTGTTTCTCAAATGATCAGGTAGTCTTGAAGGATCTCTAACAAATGCTCTGACATTAAGCCCTGAAAAAAAGATTAGAATCAAATTGTGGAAAAATCCAGCTTGGTTATTAGTGGCTTTTGTATTTAAGTAAACAAATTTTTGACAAATGAGGAGATAATGAAGATTCAACAAGACATTAACATTTTTTCTTCCATTGTACTTTGATTTTCATATTCATTTGGCTACTAAACATTTCATAAAGAAAACTAAAAAAATCAATATTTTGTTCCCATAGCAGTTTTATTAAATAATGTTCTTTTCATATCAATAGTTGACATAATTAGGTTTGAATTTAAAGAAACGTACGCATTTACCCTTCCTTTAAACGAAAGCAAATTATCAAATTGCAATTGTATAATTTGCAACAAATTAATTGATTATAAGGATTATACAATAAAATGTCTACCTTGTTTTACTGCTGCATCTACAGCACACAATCCGGTCATACCGGTGGACCCAAAAATTACAATTTTATCCATGTTTCTTATGAATTACTTTTCTCTTAACTGTACTAGTACTTAATTTGATTATCACCGTGACTGTTATAAATGCCGATTAATATTCCGTTTAAAATTATCTTGTTCCTGTTATCAAACTGTCATGTCAAATTATAAAAATAAACAAACGTAACGTCACGTGTCACTGGTCTTCAGTTCCTTAGAGACGCTGGCGTCACCTGTGGCACAAATTTTAAAACGTTTTGGTATGTAATTTCCCGGTGAATATTTTTGTCGTTCACCGTGTGTAATTTCAACCTCTTTGGGACTTTTGACAATTTTTAGTTTGGAATTAGTTATAATAAAACACGGTAAAACGATTATGAAATAAACTATATTTGGTAATATAACAAATAAAATATTAGGGATATAAAAAAATGGATCCTGAATCTGCGATTTCGAACGCAGTTGAATGCTTTGTTTTACAAATCATAGATGTCTCTTATGATAAAGCCTTAAAATCTATTTTAAATCATTCCGTTCTGTGGCCAATTCAAATCTCAATATTTTTTTCAGCTAAAATTATAAATATAGATAGTTTCGTTTTAAATATTTTTAATTTTGATCAAATTTCGGGAACTATTTTTTATTATAATTTGGATTGATGGAATAAATGAAAATGAACATTAATGTCACCCAGCAACCATTTCAGTATTCAATTGTTATTTAAACAGAAAAATAATTTAACTTCAATCAGTGATGCTTTTGAAAGCAGAGCTATTTTGATACAATAATTTGAGGAATTTAATCAAAGTAGTTTACAGAAATGAACATTCTTGATAATTTTATTACAAATGTTTATAAAATCGGTGAAAATGGGTTAGCTACATCTGCGGTAAAGTATGAAATGAATTTGAATAAAAAGGACCACATAACTAAATCCTACTTTTCTCCTATAAACGTAAGTTTTGAACCCAAAATTCTATTCAGAATATTCAATGATAATAAGTTGACTCTTAATTATCAACATTTGGAAGTTAATGAAACAATAAAATGCATTCGTTTAAAAGAAGGAGAAACGATTCCATCTGGTAAGCAAGTTTTAAATATACCTACAATGATAAGATGCCAGAATTGTGAAACGAATTTTCCTACTAAGTACCAATATCAAAGACACCAGTGCGAATTTAATGCTGAAAAAGTTGTTTTAAAATCTGACGTCAGCTGCAAAGAAGAAGATGGAATTAGAGTAAAATACGTTTGCCAATTTTGTAATAAACAATTCGTGAACACAAGTAATTTGACACGCCACCAATCTAGTCATGAGAATACCCAAGAAAATATTTGTGAACACTGTAATAAACAGTTTATTAGCGAAAACCGTTTGAGAATTCATAAAGAGAACCATTGCAAGAAAGCTGGTGATATTTCTAAGTTTTACAGAAGTGATGTTACAGTGTGGAAGTGTAAAAGATGTCACGAAGTGTTTTCATCTCCTCTTACTGCTAACTACCATGTATCAATTTGTAAAGAAGTAATAGATATCGAGGAGCAACAGAAAGAGTTTAATACATTAGACACGTCCATGCAAGTTGAGAAAAATGAAATCTCAACAAACATTGATAATAGAGATGGTACAGTTGAAGATAAAAATATAGAAAAAATATTAACTGAACTTCTCCTTCAATGTGAATTTTGTAACAGAACATATGCTGAGAAGAACTTATTGTTAATGCATCAAAGAAAACACACAACAGCAAAAAATTATGAATGCGTTAATTGTTTCCAAGTATTTGATTCCTACGTTGTAGCTGCACAGCACTGGATGAAAAAATGTTCAGAATATGTAAGCCTTTTCTATTTGCCCAAACTTACCTATTGCGAATATTGTGATAGAACTTTCAAATCCCATGAATTGTTATATACCCATAAAATTAAAAAGAAGCATTATACGTCCAAGCTCTATTTGCCTAGCTGTTCCCAAAATGAAATTCAAAATAGTGGCGGTGAAAACTGCAATGTCGAGAAATTTGTGAACAATAAAGAAATTTTGAATAAACTTATTGAAGACGTATTGATAACTCTGGATGTTCCTGTAAATAAAATCAATTCGTATTCGACAGAACAAAATAAGGAAAACGCAGAAAAGAATGAGGACAGAGGTAGGTATTGAAATACGCTATATTTAGTGATGACGTAATTTGTGTTCCATAGTTCCATTGACAATTACAGCGACAGTATAGCGACTATAACATTTTATTTCTATTTTCAAGATTGTATTCATTTAAACGTAAAAAATAATTTTGTTACATAGGTACCTACTTTTTAACCACTTTTTAACGACTTGAAAACAATTTTACATTAAATTAAATGTCAAATTCAATGATAGAATGCAATGTTAAAGTTAACTGTCAGTGGAACATATATTATTAATAAGGGGTGAGATTACAGAACGTCTGCAACTACAGATCTGCAAATATGGTGGCAACTTTGAAAATCTGCAAATATGACTGACTTACACATGCAAGTATCAAGTTTTCGTATTCCAAATTTGGGTTGGGGGTAATAAACCACAATAAATATTGCGAATTTGCAGATATTTTTTGGAATACTTGCATTTGTAAGTCCGCCATATTTGCAGATCTGCAAAGTTGCAGACGTTCTGTAATCTCACCCAAGGTATACAAAAAAATTTTTTTTTTTGAGGTAGCTAAGCCGCGTGTAGGCATATATAGGGGCAGATGGAGAATATTTTTAATTGCAAGAAAATTTAAATGTCTCTCTTTTATGTATGTCTGGCAGCTTTGGTATTATGTTGTACTTAGGACCGATTCCACCGTTGTGTTAAACGAAGTTTAAAATGACATTTTTACATTAACAATGTCATTTTAATCTCCGTTTAACAGACAACGGTGGAATCGGCCCTTAGTAATATATCGGTTGCATATTTAGAGACAGTTTAATTCAAATTTTTCTAGTGACCGGAAACAATATATATTTAATTAATATTTTATTTTAAAAATATTTGAAATAACCACTTGTCTTTATTTACCTATTGATTCCACCGTTGTGTTAAATAAAGTTTAAATTACTAAACGAAGATTAAATTGACATTGTTAATGAAAAATGTCATTTTAATCTTCGTTTAGTAATTTAAACTTCGTTTGACACAACGGTGGAATCGGTTACATACTTAAAGGAGTGCGTTTAGAAACCTCGCACGGCGCGTCTGGACCCTATTCTAATGTTCTAATGTATGGGGTCAGACGCGCTGGGCGAGGTTTCTGAACGCACCCCTGTCGACCTAGTAACCAAAAGTGGCAATGGGCCTAACTGGGCCCAACTTAATCCTATGACTTGTTTTCCATATACGTTAACGTTGAAAACTGCCCAATTTCCCGGAAGTTTTATTTTCAAACTTACGAGCTAGATTGAATTTCTGTTGGATACACACGTTTACTACATGTTTTAGTAACATACATAGTACACTTCGAGTCATATAAAAGTGGTAAATTGATCTTTTAAAATGTGTCAAAGTTAAACTAGTTCCAATATGATTACTAATGTGAATAGATGGGAAACTTAATGGTAAAATTCTGAGTCGATGTGCTGTCATCTATCAAATTGGAGCGGTACTAAAATCCAATATGGCCGCCACAAGCGGGCTTTTTGAAATTTAACTTTGTAGTAGCGCAAAAATGTAATGAAGAAAATCAAATAAAGCAAAAAAATTGGAAAAATATTTGACTAGTTTCAAATCATAAAACAACCATATTGACTGTTTTGTGATTTGAAACTAGTAAAATATTTAGCCAATTTATATTTTTATTTGATTTTACTTCATTATATTTTTGCATTAATTTCAAACTTGAAATAAAATGCAATTTATTTTATTCTTTTTATTACAGTAAATTAACGCCGCATCATATAATTTGTCTATTTAAACATGGAAATACTCTAAACAAATATGCATTTACACCATTTAAATAATTAAATATTTATAACACAAACCTATCAAAAATGTTTTCTGTAACAAAATCAGCTTATAAAAGTGCTCAAGACCTTTATAAAAGTTTTGCGACTTGAAGTGGCAAATAAGTGAAAAAATTCAAGTTGAAGCATCATCCTTTTTTACTATCGAGGCAAATTTGAGTGTGGATAAAATTTGCCATACTGTTATCGAGTCGACTAGTTAGGTTGAGGAGCATTTCTTCATCCGATAATTGTTTTCTTGATTCATTTATACAGCACTTGTAGTTATCAAATTTTTATTCATCATGTGGGCACTGTGATAAATGAATTTAACTTTTGAGCATAAATTAAACTTACACACATTTGGACCCTTTAGGGCGTTTTCTTGTTTGATGTCAATGGCATTGAATCAGTTTTTGATATTGATGGCTGAGGCTCAAATATTTCATCAATCGACAGGGTATTTTGGAGGGCCAACATTTTTTTTACAACAATGATCATTTAAAAACTGAAAACAAAAAGAAATTTAAATAACAAACCAATTATTTTAACACTGAATCAAAAACAAGTTTGTAAATAGTACTGTACTAAATAGTACCGTTGGTGCCAGTGTAAGATGCATTTTTCTTAAGACACTTATTACAAATTGTTTGGTTATTCTTAATATGACGACCTCAAATTTAATACGTGGTATTCATTGCATCACTACCAATATCTGGGAGTGCTTTATTGTTCGTTGCTGAAATCCATGTTCCCATCTCATGTAAACATGCTTAAAATTGGAAGGTGTTGAAAAATAAATCTAGATGAATCAAAATCCAATACACCTTCAAATGCAACAGCCATTTTAATTTTTCCAAGTTTGAAGTTTTGTTGATAAGCTGACAACTAACATGACATTTCGATGCGAGCGCCATCCCGTTAATTGGAGTGGTACTAAATTACCGTCCTCATGTTTTTCCATTTGAGTTACCAGCCCCTGACTAGTTCTTAGGCTATAATTTCTAGAACAACGTTGCCAGCACAACGAAAATATTAGTAGATGCGATGATACAATACATTTGGTAAATCAATAAAACACAATGGACAAATTAAAAATTTAATGCAATTTAAAATGGAGTAAGTTTGAATTTTAAATACATTTGACAATTCGAAACAGATGAAATAAATAATTAATATATTGCCATAGCTCCATTATTAATCTTCTAAGCACTGAGTTAATTAAATTTATTGTTAACTGTTCATCTTCTGCCAAGCTTTACTGAATCATTTAAAACCTAATAAAATTTAAGGTAAAGATAACTCCAATAAGCGTATTTACTTTGATAAGTTTGTATTTTCGGCTCGGCTACATAATTCTTTAAATCAGTTTTTCTAATTATTCTTAAAACTTTTGTTACTGAAGCATTAAAGTTTGTGTCAACTTTTGCCTATCTTGCCGTAAATAATTAGTCAATGTTTCATCTTGTTGTGCTATAGTTATAACTACTAGTCTCTCCGCCCCTCTTTTTCTGTTTACAATTTGATTATTGTCTTATTTTTGCAAAGCTGTTAATCCTTCGAGCACGAAGTGTTAATCGTGGTTTTCGCATTTTATCAAACTTACTCAAATGACCTGACATCGTAACAATGCGCTTTGACAAATCTTACTGTTTGTCATTTTCAAAAGTAAAGTTGGTTTTACATTGGGAACAATAAGTGTACCAGTTTTATATGACGCGAATAGACGCGAAGTGTACATACGTTCAATTAAAAATATTTTTAGTTACATGGTGATTTAAAAATTTATGACAGTAGTTTTTTTACGAAATTTCAGTAATTCTACTGTGACGTCAGGGAAGCATATTTTCAAAAAGTGCTACATATAATTTGGTATTTTGGCCACAATATATTACCTACACAGTACTTTTACGCAGGTTTTTGGTATCTCAAATTTATTTTAACTCAACTTTTACAATAACTATACAACTGATAACATTAACATGTAACGTCTATCATAAAATTGAAACTGACGTCAGGATCACTGACTTATGTAAGTTTGCTTTAACCTTCTCGAAATGTCTAGATTTATTTTGACGTGGAATGACATTTCTCAAATATTTCCCTTCTTTTCCTCGAACCTTTACTTTTGACGACCGCAGCATGCTGCGTAACATTGTTCCCTCCTCTCCAGTAATTCGCCTCGAATAACTTGATTACTGGGACCTAGTTGGAACCAATGGGGAGGATCTGGACCACGGCATGGATCTATCTTTCCAATGTGAACTACCTTGGATTTACTTCCCGCTGACAGCGGCAGATCAGGTCGTTGATTTTCCTTAAAGACGGAGTAGGTGCCTTTTCAGGACCGTTGCGATTTCTGAACAAAGTTCTCCTTGGTGCTTGGAATTGCACAGCCATACTAGGTCGCCTCTCTCAAAATGTGTATCTGTGGCACGCCTGTCGATTCTAGCTTTTGCTTTATCGGTGTTGGCTTTCAGTCATTCCCGAGCGAATCCATAGACCTTTGTCCTGCCATTGCATACATAACATTTTTTGTGTCCTTTTAGTATCAAATTGTCCTCCTGAACGGCTGCTATGAAACTCCTCCAATACATTTCTGACCTGTGATTTCGGCAGTATCATTTGGCGGACTACATGTACTCCATCGGTGCTCTCCCGGTGCAATTGGCCATCGTGAAGATACAGGGAATCCCACTGAGTCCAGTAGCCTTTTATAGTTCTACTGTATTTGGCTATCTCTTGCCAAGTAGGTGTGACTTTATTTTTGAGCCATTCTCGGACAACCTTTAAGTCATTGTCTTTCTTCTGTCCCTATCTCAGACTTTCAAAGTTGATTTCTTCTTCGTCGCCCTCTGGCTTGATAGTGGTTGCCCGAAGAGTTACTTTATCAACCGGTTCCTCTCGTTCTTCGAGCCTTTTACCATACCAGCATTGTCCATCTAAACGCGGTCACCCGAAGAGAATGTCTACGTTGCTATGGATTCCTCTTCGGTGCTCTACTTTCTGGTTATTGCTAGAAAGCCGGCTTGGTGTGGGTGATTGGCTTCTTCGGAACGCATAGCTGCTGTAATTATTTCTTGTTGGACTTCGTGACGGGCTTCGGAAGATTGATCTATATAATTTTCCGGTCTCATTCCCTGATACTCGATTTATGTCTCCTGCTTCCATTTTGGTTGTTTCGTTTCAT